ACCCTGTAAGGGTTCAGGGTTTAGGGTCAAGGGTTTAGGGGGTAGGGGGTTTAGGGGGTTTAGGGTTTAGGGTTTACGGGGTTTGGGGTTTAGGATTTAGGGTGTTGGTTAGGAGGACCCCCCACCCTGTAATAGTGGTATAATAGGAATATAAGAGGACCCTAATATCATCCTTGTTATCCATAATAGTCACTATTACTGGGTGGGGGGGTCCACCTAAGGTTTAGGGCTTAGCTAGAAAGGGACCCGTAATTAGAGAATTCAAAGCATGATTCTTCGCTGTAATGCACGCATCAACCCAATATCCCCAAAACATCTACTCTAAACCATAAACCCTACACCCCTATACCACAAACATTCGACCTTCCCAGACAGTGCCATTGCCATACCCTTGATTGCGGAGTCTCCCCATCTCATATTCGAACATCTTTCATAGGTTTCCCTGCAATACTACCCCCTGGTTCCCCCTCAATTAACCTTAACTAAGCCTAGGTATCCCTAAATTACCTTAACTATGGGGTAACATAGGAAGGGTAGTATAGACGCGGGTGGTCGGGGAACCCGTGAACCTTAGGAAACTTCGAGGTATGCCTAAACCCCAAGCCCTAAACCCTAAACCCCAAACCCTAAGCCCTTAATCCTAAAAACCTTGCAGCCTAAACCCTGAAACCCTAAGCCATCACATCGGGTGCGTGCCGCTTCGCTTAAATGCCCCACTGTGCACCTGGGAGTACGAGGACGATATAATGTCACTGACTCACTCTCTCTCTCTCTCTCTCTCTCCCCAATATATATATATATATACACCCATACATATGTATATATGTTGACATATACATACATGTATATATGTATAGAGTGTGTGTACACACACACACACACTCTCTCTCTCTCTCTACATATATATATATATGTATGTGTATTACATATATACATATATATGTATATATATATTTGTACAGTAGAGGTTCTTCAAGCTGCGGATCCGTCGTGGTAGATTATCGGGATTGTACAGGACCGGGTAGGCATATTGTGAACCGCTCGTGATGCTTGGTACAACCAGTAATAGCTATTGGTGACCTGGTTACAACTTTGGTTTTCCCTACCTTGGTTTGTCCATACATACATCCCTATAAATCCCAGTATATCCGTATAAGCCCTCAAACCCTGAACCCCATAACACCTACAACCCCACTTTAAAGGGCCTGGGTCTGGGATTCGACTGCACCAAGGGCCGCACGACGCATCTTCCTTCCGGGCGTGCCTCAGCTTGCTGGTGTTTGAGGGGCTTCTAGGGCTTACGGATGTTTAGGGTTTATGGACATGGCGCTTAGAGCTTTGGATTCTAAGTAAGGGGCAGCAGGGGCATGGATATACCTGCGTTATCATGCCAATACTCTTATAGGGGACTATATAGTAGGTGGATCATTCTACGATCCACTGCCCCACTCTCCCTTCACACCATGAAGCTCGAGTCAGGCATTATTTTTTGGTATGGAGATTCTACAAGGATAGGGGCCTGGGTAGCGGAGAAAGAATAAAGAAAACAGATGAAAACAACATGGAAGCTGGGTTTGTGTGGGGATTTATGGGGATTGTAAGTGATGGCCTGCATACAGCAGGGTTTAGGAGTTTAGGCTTTGAGATTTAGCGTTCAATTGTTTGGCGTCTTTTTCGAAGGACTTTTCGGGATCAGCGCTAATAGTTTGGCAGGGCTTGAGGTTTTGCGGTTAGAGTGTAGCCAAATTGGTAATCTCCTTCTACATCACTGAAATGTGGTACTCCCCATGATCATGAACCCTAAACCCTACACCCTCAACCCAAAACCCTAGAAAGAAGCAGTGTGCAGCTTTGAGAAAGGCTTGAAAGAAAGGATGCTGCCAGCTTTGCAAACCTCAGAGGCCCATGCTCCGCCCTTGCCGCTTGAACCCTGCATTCATTTAGGGCTTAGGGTTTGGGGTTTAGGGTTTAGGGAGGTTTCAGGCGGGTAGTTACCGGGTGGGTACCCTCACATTAAGGATATATAAGGCTTATTATGAGGACACTAGGACTATGTAAGGGCTACGCAAGGCGTATACGGGGGAAACTACCCTCCTGAAGCTTCCTTAGACTAAACCTCAAACCCTTAACACAGGATTCATCTCCCCATTCTGACCACTAGGTGCGTGTCTTGATAGCAAAATATGTTGGAGGCTGAATTGTGTCCTAAAGCCAACCGCTAAACCCTAAACCCTAAAACCCAATCTACAACTTCCTGGGCCTTTGAGGTCAAAACCCTAGTGCCTAAACCTAGACCCTACCTCGTGACCCCTCACTCCTAAACCCTGAACCCTATAACCCTATGCATCCTAAACCCTAAACCCTATGAATCCTGCAAACCTAAGACTCATACTGTGCACGCAGCTCAGCTCGTAGCCGCTCCATGGTAGATTTTGCGGCACGAATTATTCCGGCCTGGGTGTAGCACCATGTGGGGGTGGAGGGGGGTGAGTCAGGGGGGGGGGGTGAGTGAGGGGGGAGGGGGCTTCGGGTCAAGGTATACCTGGACCTCCCGAATACCCATTGCATAAAAACCCAAAACCATGGGCCTGGGCCTGTAGGCTTTTAGTAGGCTTTTGTTATGGATGCTTGGGCGGTCTGGACAGGGTATAGCAACCACCAGAACAAATCCTTGTAACTAGAGCGGCCTATCCTGAAACACTCCTTGGAGGGTCAGGGGGACTTACTCAGTAGGTTAATAACGTGGACAACTAGGGTTACTATATAGGGGTTAACAACCTACTTACTAAGTCCCCTTATCCTCCAAGTAATAGCAACCACTGAACAAAGCTTGTCCTGGAAAGCTGTGGCAAAGCTGAAGTGTTCTGTGCTGGCGCAAACAGGAGTTCCCAACCAGCATCTGAGCACCGCTGTCTGAGTTACCCGCTTGCGTAGTTACAAATGCAGAGAGTATGACCTGCGCGCCATGTCCTTTTTGGGGCGGAACACAAAAAGCTCAGAGCTGCTGTGGCAACAGAAGGCATGTCACAATTGTAGCTTCCACACGTCAGTCGGGGGTCCTAAACGTACATGCCAACCCACTATTAAAAATCGTGGAAAAGAAAATGGAAGCTACCATATTATGGGGGTTATGTAGGAATATACTCGGGAATATTTTTACATATATAGGGATAATGGAAAATAAAATGGAAACTACTGTATAATACATTGGGGGTCCTTGCGAAAGGAACTCTAAAAGGAACTCAGAGTTGCTGGAAGTCCCATATGAGCCATAGTCTAAACTCCTACACTCCTGGAAACTAACATGGAAATCCAGAAGGGGCCCTATAAAGACTATAGCCGCTCTAAAAAGGGGCTATATGGGTTTCCATGTTAGTTTGGGGGAGTGTAGTCTCCCCCATAATAGTGGCGAATCAAATGGAAAAGAAAATGGAACATGAAATGGAAACTGGGATTATATAGGGGGTTATAGGGTTTTTGGTCTAAACTCCTAGTATCCCCTTTAACAACCCCTATAGTAGCCCCCATATAATCCCCGGTATAATCCCAATAAAGGAGTTTAGACCCTACTCCCTAAACCCTTAACCCTATATAGCTCATATTGACAAATCATGATGGGCTTTGGATTCTGCCTCTTCCAATCTGATGCTGACTACAAGCAAAACTCGATTCCATGCCCTACACCCCTGGGAGAGAAGCAGTTTGGTGACCCTGTCTGGAAGGCTTCTAGAACCGTTTCCCCCTAAACCCTAGGGGCCCAAATAGCACAAACGGCCAAGGAAGTACAACTAGGAGAGCATTCGAAGGCGGGACTTCTTCTTGAGGGCTTAAGGTTTACAGTTTAGGGTTCAGGGTTCAGGGGCTGACCTGCATGACTTTCATACTTCCCAGGGACTGTTGATACGAAAAGCCCTGCATACCCCTGACTACCTTATACTATTGGGTCATGCAGGACTTTTGGTATCCACAGTAACAAATCCTAGAATCACCAGAGACGAGTAACCCTAGTTCCCATTTCATGTCCCATGCTCTTTTTCATTCTCCTTTATTGGGGTCTTGGGGTAATATCACGCTAAACCCTATCTGATCCTGTAGATCCTCACACAATCCTTACTTTGGAAACTGCTGTATGTATAGTAATCCTATATCCGCCGTAGGGTGGTCAGGGGGTTCCTAACGGTTCCTACCCCAGCTTTCCAGGCACCGCAGCTGCGTCTTTCGTCTTCATATTGTTTGTTTTGTTTATTGCTACTACTAATTATTATTACTACTACTACTACTACTATTACTACTACTTCTATAAGCAATCCTACCAGACACAGTTTGAACGTGATACTTTCTGAGCACTACTGCTAGTATCGCGTCGTTGCCGTTGGCATTGTCTTGAATTGTGAGTACCAGTGTTGTTATTACAGATTTGCTCTTAAACCTCTGTAAGTCTACTGTTATTATTCTTGCTATTATTTGCATTTGGGGATTTTATCAAGAAGAGAGGGAAAGAAGTCTTCCTGCGAGTCTGTCCCTCCCCCACCCCACGCATGAGCGGCACCAATAGGTCGATTTCTGGGGTCAGGAAATCATTAGCCTTACGTGACATAAGCATCAAGAATCCTGCAGCATCCCTTTGATCATGAAGGCAAGCCAGTACTGGAATTCAAAACATAACTTCAATCTAAACAATGTCATATGCCTGAGGAATGTCTACCCCAAAAGGAGAAGGGACTGGCTGAGGAGCCGGCTGCCACACTTGCACGTCTGATTGCCTGGTAATCGTAGATTTTCGGATTTTTGGAATCTCCGAACATAGGGCCCCACCGAAACACGATGGCCCTATTGGAAACCCCTTGTCTCAAAATCAGGTCATCTTGGATCCTTAAGAATACTTCTGTCCATGGTCAAACCGTTATGAAGGTCTCTGTCAAAAGACTAGTTTGGTGGCTCTTCAAGATACCTGTCCCCAAAATCGGCAAGGAGGTAGGTAACCCTTTTGGTTATTATCTCCTTTTGTGGATGTGTATTCACAGTGGCCCCTCCTCTACAAGCACCTTGAGAAGAAAACAGATCAAAGCCCCAGTCTGACTACAGCGTCGAGCATTTGGAGTCCAGGCAGCAATGTTGGCCTTTGATTTGCTCTGGGCTGCTGCTAGGTTACGATAATGGGTATTATATGTAGTAAATGAAAGGGTCTCCCCAATACAGTAACTTGAAATAAGTCCCTTAGCAGCAACCCAATAAACCCTAAACCCAACGTTCTTACTTCCCAGTGACTGTGGGCCTACCCTAAGCCCCAAGCCCTAAACCCTAAGTCTTAAACCCTAAACCCTTAGTCTTAAACCCTAAACACTAAACCCACAACCCTAAACCCTAAGCCCTAAACCCTAAACCCTAAATCCTAAACCCTTAACCCTAAGCCTTAAACCCTCTTCGCAGCCATCCTTTGGAGTTTACGTCTAAGCCCAACAAGATTCGTGCCCTAACTTCAAGACTGACATGGTCGTCTATGGGGTTATATAGGGGTTCTATAGGGGGTTATATAGGGTTGTGTAGGGGTTATATAAGGGTTATGTAGGGTTACATAGGGATATATGGCTTATATAGGGATAGTGGAAAAGAACATGGAAACTACTAGTATTTGGGGATTGTGTAGGGGTATATGGTAGTTTCTCTAAATAAATAGGGGGACCCCAATATTGAGCCTCCCAATATACTACCATCCTGATCATAGGGACCCTCCAAAGAACACAACTAATTGTCGGAAATGCCAACATCTTCAAGATGGAGAAGCTCTATCTGTGGCACGCGTCGCTATCGTGACTACAGTCGATATCAACTTGAATGTGCCGATGGCATGTTGGCATGTGGCAAGAAGGCTATGTTGAAACTGCGAAGGGTCTGGAGCCCTTGTGGGGCATTAGGGCTTGGAGTTTAGGGGGACGCTATAGTGCTATCGACATTATCAACTGCCATGGACTATGGATTCTCAGTCCTACCCAAGTTAATTTGTGGTGGGCGGTCTGCATGGAGAGACGAATTCCCTGATGCTGCTTGCACAGCGTAGGGCTCCAACCCTAAATTTACACAATAACAAGACCCCACATACAGCCTGAACCCTCCCAGAACGCGACATGCACACCGATTCCTCCGGGTTGCTGTTAAAGGGCTCGAATTAAGTTACCATGCTGGGTATATATATAGTAATCAATAGGGTTCCCCCAGTATAGTACCTTCAATTAAGTTCCTTAAGAGCAACCCAGCGCTTCGAGCATACCAGGAGCAACCCCTGTGACATTCCTGACAGCTAAGCTTCCAGACCTACACCCAGAACCAGCCCATGCTCTCAAAAACCCTACCTTGGGTGGACCCCCCTTCCAGCAGTAGTAACTGTAATGGATACTGTTGGACCCGCTTTAATATGCCCG